TTGACAGGCACCTTCCTGCCCGGGGGGCAAAAAAACCCCCCCAAAACAAACCACCTTGTGGTTTAATGCCTCTCTGGCATTAACTTTATTGATTTTCAGAAGGTTTTAGTTTTTTTCTTTCCCCCACCCTTTTCTAGAGGTCATGTTGCTGTAGCTGCAGTGATCCTCATGTTTCATGATGGGCCCTGTACCTGCTCCAGCTGAGCTTGGAGTGTAGTGGTACACAGGCTCTGCAATCACCAGGCCAAACCAGGCATCTGAAGGTGGTCACCAGCTACTGCTAAAAAAGTCACCCTACCCCTTCACACTGAGGAATGGAAGGAGGAATTATTTTTCTTTGAAACAGTGTTATTTACACCAGAGAAACAACTTCTGTGACTTGATGCTGCCACATCGCTAGAAGACACTTTCAAATGGTAGATTCCTTCAGAGGGGACCTGCTCTACCTGTAGCATAACTTCATTCCTGCCTGTTAGCTTTTCTCTTCTGAGCTAGGAGTAATGTAAAGTGATGCATATCAAAGACGGTACTCACCTCTCTTTAAGGGAAAATCAGATTTATGATGATTTATGCTGTGTTGAGCTAAAGAAATCAAAAACTATTTGGAAGGGATTATGTTGCCTTGCACACAGCAGCCTTGTATTCCTTAAAAGTAAAAAAAGCTGATGAGTGAACTGTCCCAGCAAAAGATACTAAAACCAGGTCTCCAGTTATATCTTAGCTACAAAGAGCTACACCTTTCACAAGTGGGGATGGAATATATGGTTGCATATACTGAGAACACTTTAATAGAGATAAGGTGTTTTATGAAGCAGTTTTGAAGATACCCAATCTATCTCCTGGGAGAGAACGGGAACAAAGGTCTGGATCTGTAGTTTAGAGCCCAGTCTAACAGTCTGCTAGTTTCATGTGAAGTCTACAGAGCTAGGAAGCATGATGGCGTGGTGCTTGCACACTTCCCATTTTCAGCAGTGGAACTCCTAAAGCAACAGCAAAGCAAATCAGCAAACCAAATTAAGGAACACAGGAATTTTTGGTCCTCCCATTCCTTTTGTATGTATCCAGCTTGCTCCTACAGGGTAGGAAGTTAAATAAGGAGCAAGCTCTACTCTCATTACAACTTTTTGTTCGTGGCATCAGCGTACTTTGCAAACATGGCTGAATTCAGGCTCACAGTACTTCTGTCAAATGCTAAATATTTTCTACATTCCACATGAGAGGACTCATGAAGAGAGCTATTACCCAGAGGTAGGCAAGAAACCCACAATAAAACTGGAAACAGAAAGCAAGGCTTTAACCAACAGATTGGTGCTTTGTACTGGTTGTAACTGGCAGAACTTTGGTAGCAGGGGGCTACAGGGGTGACTTGTGTCATAGCAGGAGGCCATGAACTGCCCCGTGCCAGCCACAGCTACTTCCAGCTGCCCCTGAAACTGCTGCTAATAACCGACCATGTGCCAAAACTTCAACCAGTTAGAGAAGCACATGGTGCCTCTGATCACAGACATTTACGAAAGCAGCAGCTGCTAAGAGGAGAGGACATGTGGCTGGTGGCACCACTGGGGATGCGGCTGGAGACGTACTCTTGGAAGGAAGTGCCCCATGACACAGCAGGCACACCCCTGAATGACTGTGGGTCATGGCAACCCACACCAGAGCAGGGACACCACAGAGGGACTCTGTCCCACGGTAAACCCATCCTGGAGTGGAGGAAAAAAAGTAAGAAGCAAGCAGCAGTACACACATCACTGGTCTCTTGCATTGCCCCTCATCCCACCAAAGGGATTAGTAGCTGAGTGTAATGTGTAGGAAAACCCAGAAGGGTGGAAGAGAAGTTTTTACTGAATTAGACCCTGGGGAAGAAAGGCGTTTCTTCACCAAGACTCTTGTTTAATTGTCTTTTTTCCCTCAATACCCAGGTCTGTAACCAAAAGTTTTGTTAACTGGCAATAAATTAACTAAAATTCCTTGAACCAAGACTGTTTGCTCACGATGTGCCTATAAAGTACTCTGGCATATTTCTTAAGTCCTATGTACTATGAAATCTGTTGTTAGAGAAAAGGGATCACAGGAAGGAAGTAGAGGGGTATTACTCGCTGTAGCTGGGCTGCCGTTTGAACAGTAAGTTACTGTGCTGAGGCAGCTGCATTAAGATTCTCACTAAAAAGCACATTTAGATGAAGTGTTTAAAGCACCCTATACAAGCAGTCACCTACACAGGGTGAGGGTGGGATGGAGGTTAACAGGCACCACTCTGCTAGGCAGTTTTGGCCATGGGAAGAGGCTCAGAAGTGAATTGAGGAGAACTACTGCCAGTGGAAAATAAAGCCAGTCACACCAGGAGCCAGTGCAAAGCAGATGCCACATATGAAAATGCAAACCTTAGTTTATTTCCTGATAGCCTCCTTATGGAGGCGTGCCTTAAAGGTCTGCTGAGAGCTCTCATGGTGCAGATTGCCTTGTCTGCTGTTAGCTGCAGGAAAGGGCAGATACGCTTTCAGACTTCTTTTCCCCCAAACTAACCAACTGGACATGCGTATTTTTCCTCAGGACCACCTGCGGGGTCAGTGACTGTGCTAGCTTCCTTTTTTGCTCCCCCACAGAACAGCTCTATGAAAGACTCAGGGATCTGTCAAATTAACATAGTGAAGGGGGTGGGAAAAAGATACACAGCACTTTAAACTATAAATGTCTCTTTGATTGCAGAAAGGACAAGTTGTGCAACTCCCAAATGGGAGGAGGAACCCTATTTGACTCATTTGCTTAATTTGATTTTATAACTGCTGCACTGGGGTGCAAAAGGCTGATAAAAATCTATCCTCAACAAAGAGCACAAGTCCTGCAGGCTAATATTACTATTAATCTACTGCCTGCTTCCCCAATTAGTCTCCCTTCTTGAAGTTATGTTGATAAATCAGTTGCCTTCCTGTTTATTAAAGCATGTGGTAGTCTGTTTATTTAATAAGCTCTTGGCCCATTTTCTAATTAAGGGAGATAATGTGGGCTCATTTCCTGCCATGGTGAACCTGGCAGGGCACAGGTTGTCCTCAGCTGCTGCATTACAATTCAAGATTATTTGTAATGATTGCTTT